CTTAGGAAGTGGCAACTCGTCTCTCAATAGATTGTCTTCTTTTTTACAACGACTTGTTTGTTGATCAATCAAAGATAACTTTAGTAATTTTAGTAATGATACTCTACGAATCGTGTTGATGAGATTTTCATCGATGATTGAGTGATTCTAATAACTTAATTATTCACCATAAATCTATAGCAAAATGTGGGCATACAAAGAACACATCTTAAAGATCGTGCCCACAAAATTTGGGCTTAAGACCTCCTACATCATTAGATATCGATCATAGAAGATGGAGAAATTTGGGTTGTTAAATAGGTGTCTCCCCTACAAACGGACCACTGAAAGGTGATAGTTGAGAAGCAACATCTTTAACCACTAATTACATTGAAAAGATGTTCCTAACCACTAAAAGCTAGATGTTAATGAGAAGAGACATCTTTAGCTACCACTTATAGTGACAAGACATTCTTAACCATTGAAAGCTGACAATTAAGGAGAAGAGATGTCTTTAACCACCGCTTTCATTGACAAGACGTCCTTAACCACTGAAATAAGAGTCATAGTAATCAACTAGCAATCCACGTTTTCTCACTACAAATGTGCTTATCTCATATTGTCGCATTCTGCGTAATACAACAATCCACATCTTCTCACATTCTGTGTAATTGTAGTTTTAATAAAATATTCATGAATTAAATAATCATGGCCCCACTACATCACATACAACGACATGTCAAATATATAAAAATACCAATGGCTTACACATGTCGTTACCTACAGAAAATTGTGGAAAAGTCCCTAGAATGTGTGAAATAATGTATACATATTTTCCAAAATTACTTTAATATCCTCATGACTTAACTATATCAAAATAAATCCAAAAAAAGTCATAAAAAATCTATGAAATTATGTGAAATATGAAAAATTCTTATAATCATTATAAAGTTATTATTTGGTTATTTTAGAAATGATAATATGCTAAAATATATTCACTTTAAGGTAATTAATGAGTATTTCTAACATATTATCACTCCACCCTTTCCTTCACCATGAAGTGGGACTTTTTTCAACTTAAGACCAACCTCTTCTCCACACATATTAGCAAAACATGGGTTAGGATATCTAAACACATGCCAAAAGAATTAGAATTGAAAAATTAACAATAAAAATTTATAGACCCTTCCCTACTAGATTAGAAAACATAATAGACACATCTTTGAAATGTAGCTAGGGCGTTACACAATCCAAAAGGCATTCTCTTGAAGGCATATGAACCACATTGACAGATGAAATTGTTTTTCTCTTGATCATCTGCATGAATAGTCACTTGCTTGTATCCTAAATAGCCATCTAAGAAACAAAAATATTTTTGTCTAATTAGTTTTCTAGAATTTGATCAGTAAAAGGCAAAGGACAATGATCTTTCTTAGTGGTTAAATATAATTTCCTATAGTTGATGCACACTTTTCAACTAGTAGGTGATGTGAGTTGATGTTGTATAATAAATCATACAAAATTTTAATTTATTAAACTAGAAAATACAAATTTTAGATTTTTAGAAATATTTCAAAAGAAATAAATAAATTATAATTCAATAAAAGGATCCAAAAAAATTAAAAACTTTCATATCGATGTAAGATAATATCGGATAATATTTCACGATTTTTCTAAAATAATATAATTTTTTATAATTTTTAGACCAAATGATAAATATAAAATATATTTAAAAATTCACAAAAAAGAGAAATAAAGGTTTGGATGTTAGGATGATGTCAATGGCCCAATGAACGTGAATCATGCGGAAATAAAGTTTCACCTAGAAATTCTTGCACAAGCAATTATAAATAAATTAATTAGTCAAATTAAGATCTATAAAATCTAAAAGAATTGTTATTGAATGAAGAATATTTTAGAGACTTGAAATCACACAAAATATCACTAAAAGAAGTAAAAATTCAATTCAAAGTAGGAAAGATAGTTTTGGCCTCACGACAATAATTGTTAGAATTTTATATGTTTTGAATGGTTGGTAATCTCTAGATCTTCTTGTGAAGACTAGAAATCAATGAAGTGAGTTGACTTTGTGAATCTTTGGCATAAACAAAGAGATATTTTAGGTATTAAAATGATTGAAAACCTTCTAGAAAGTTGTGACTGCCAATTTGGTACCACATTAGTTATTTGTCGAGTTTTGAGATAGATATATACTAATATGACATTTGATGATCAATGTGTTTTTTTTTTACATGTGTACGACCACTCTTTGCCCTATGTCTAGTTGCTCACCGGTGATGTGGAAGGGGAATGACGCACACATGTCTCCTACTAGTCCATCCTTAGCTGCTCAAGCCCTTTGCTCTTGGCTCCACTTGACTATACTACTGACCCATTTGCGGGCCTAACTGGCCTACAAATCCCTCTTTTTCTATCTTTTTATTTTATTTATTTATATCAAAAATAATATTTTAAAATTATATAAATTTGTATAAAATCAAATAAGTAGCCAAAAATTGACCTTAACCAACTAAAAACCATTTTTCATAACTTATGAACTAAAAACTATGTTCTTGGCTCCACTAATCATTTTTCAACTAAAAACATAATATATCATGAGTTAAGGCTTAAATTATATTATTAATTAATTATTAACTTATGATAATGAAGACTTATTAGTAGACAATCTCACTTGTAATTCTTTTCTTAGGTCATTCTTCACTATAGTAATTCCTATCTTCTTAGGCACTAAGTGAATAGGACTAACTTAAAGACTATCTAAAATGGAGTAAATGGTTCCAACTTTCAACCATTTCAAATAAAAAATAATGTGTGCATATATCCTCACTTATACCTTGAATATTATCCAAAGATCATCCTATGGCAGCTTTGTGAGTTTTTAGCGCACTAAGAAGAAGAGATGATAATAGGATATAATTGATTTTGACCTAAGAAAGCATACTTGAGAGAAGAAGATAGTGGTTTCAACTCTAGTTGTGGCTCAAGTAAATAGTCTTTTTCGTCAATGATCTCCATGTCTTTCTTCATCCTCAATTAGCATATCCTCAACCAAAAATATAGACTCTTGAAACCCTACGAGATCTACTAAGTCAATTAAGTAGCCATCCTCACTAGATCTTCCTAGACATTCCATGACCTTATTCATGTTGATTTCTACTTTTTCCTACCCAACATTAAGTGAGATTGTTTTCTTTTCAAAATTTTTTGCTACATTAGCTGTGACTAAGAAAGGTCTCCCTAGTATAAATAGGTGCTCAACTAAGATTTCTTGTAACCTTCATATCAGTAAGGATAAAATCAATTAGAAATTCTAAGCCATCAACTACCTTGATTGATACATCATTCACTCTAACATAGGGTTTTCTAATAGATCCATCAATTAATTGCAATTCAATCAAGCTTTCATCTAAATCCTCAAACTTAAACTTTTCATAAAGAACCTTAAGAATAATTCTTACACTAGCTTTAGTATCTAATACTAATCTAGAAAAAATCATTCCTCCAATGTCCACTTGCACTAAGGGAGCACTTTGATCTTTTTTCCTTCTAATGCATTTCATTCCTCTAATGTCTTTCTTATTACTCTTAGTTGGGGTGTAAAGAGTTTATGTGAATTTTACATAAGAAGGAATATTTTGAATGACATTGACTAAAAGAATGGTAATAGTGACTTTCTTAAAAACTTCTATGATATGCTCATCAGATGTGGTTTGTTTTCTAGGGATTTTTAAAGCTTCAGAAAATGCAATTCTAATTTGATACTCCCTAAGTTTTAGAAGTTCAATTTTCAGATTTTTTGACCTATAAGTTTCATCATCTCTAATGTTCTCTTCTTCCTTAAGTTTTCCACTACCACTCGATTTGTTTAACCTAAAGTCTTCCACATCCTTACCAAGAGAAGTATTATCAAAAAAATAAGGATCAAGTAAAACTTTTCTATTTCTCAAGTTTGAAATAACATGCATGATCTTTACATTTTTAGAAAATTCAGGAACATCATGTATAACATGGTTTACATGATGGAGATTTCTAGGATTTATTTCAAGTTGGGTTGGAAATTGACCTTTCCTTTGGCTAATTGAAGCTTCTTCATGAGTTTTACCTCTTTGAAAGTTGACTTGCTGAGGTACTCCTCCCTCTAACTTCATGTTGAAGCCTTGTTGGTTCCATTGATTAGTCCCCCTCATATTATGGTTCCAAGTTCATTGGTCTTGGGGTTTTCCTTGACCATAGGCACTGATGACCATGGTTTGCCCATTATCAGGACAATCTTCAATTCACAAATGAAGAAGTTAATCCATAAAAAAAATAGAATATTTATGATGTTGATTATAATATTATTCTAATAGTAACAGAGGAGCATGTACTTTTGCAAACTGTCCAAGTTTTGGAACCCAACACTGATGGATTAGGTCTGAGGATTCCCCTTCAGGAAGGACATTTTCTTTTTCTTCTGGACATTTCTACATCGGTCTTGAAATATGAGGCCATTTCAAACCTTTCATTAGTAACTCCAACTCTTTGGAAACACTGTTCAATGATAAAACAAGTGGCTATGGAAATGATCGTATTTTTGGTAGAAATGGTATCCCTTTAACTGGGAGACATGCCTCTCTCACCTTTGACCACAGGTACGTCTAGTATCGACTGAGGGATCCAAGAGGAAATACCCATCCTAACCCTAAAAACTGGTAGCCCTGCCAGAGATGTTTTATTTACAGTCGAGCATTTCTGACCAAATGAGCGGCCCTTTTTATATGGGACCTTCTCCTCTGGTGTCCTTATGAAGGCTAGTACCATCGGCCCCACCATGTACAAATTCACTGTTAAAAGTTAACAGGCTGGCCAGATAGATTCCCCTAAATCTGACTTTACAAGAAGATTGTCCATGTGCTTCCACAACCAGCATGATATCATACATAAGATAATTTGAGCTACATTAGCATGTTTAGAGGACCTCTTGGAGAAAGGCTAGAGAACGGATAGAGAGGGAAGGGAGATTAGAGACCCTCTGTAGGTTTTGCCGCATTGAAGAACCAGCACGCCATGGAGCCGCTGCTCTGGCCAACGAAGTTTATACTCCTCTCTCTACCGTCATTGTCTTCATCAAGCTCTTCCTTGGCTACCTTATCGACACCTACCGGCTCATCCGGCCTCTGGGGCTGTGACGCGCTGGTGGTCGTCCCTAGGCAGACAGTGGAATGGGAAGACGGTGGAATGGGGCAAACAGGAGGAAGCTTGGAAAGAAGAGCTTCGAGGCTGCTCATGGATGGGGTGATCCTCACTGGCGGGCTGAGATGGTTGTAAACCTCCATGGGTATTGGCGGCGCAGCCGTTGCCTGGAACTCTGAAGAGTTTTCTGGACCGTAACATCCCTCGACGTTGAAGGGGAAGGCGGATGAGGAAGGGTGAGGCAGCAGAACACCGGGGATGCTCTCGAGGTAGTTGAATCTCTTGCGCAGTAGAACGACGTAGGCTAGGTCTTCCATAACCTGAAAAATTGGCGTGGTGAGAAAAACCGTGGATACTACTAACAAAGGATTATGGAATTGGGAAGTCACATGAAATTTGTTCGATTTCCTAATCATGTTTTCTACTCTATGGGCGTTCCATGAACGAGCTTTGCCCCCTCCTGTAAGACTTCCGCTCATCGGAGAGTGGCATGCTGATAGGATAGTCTTGTGAGGATTCTGCGCATGTGTTGTCTGTGTCCATTGGTGGGGGGGAAGAGAGAGAGAGAGAGAGAGAGAGAGAGAGAGAGCACCTTGTTGATAGATCCTAGTTGAACAACACCTTCTCCAACTGCAATTAGGGCAATGGTCTGCGTAAACTTACCACAATGATCAGTACGTACTATAGAGCAGAAAAAGCAAATAATGTAGTTACTAGGAGATATCTGTGGATCGGACCTTGATGCCGCACTGAAACTGAGCTTCCCATGTCCTCGGGTGCTGGAAGTCCTCAGAAGGTTAGGACTAAAAGAGAGTCTTGTGAACCAAAACCATGAGAGAAGTGAAGGGTCTACCCAACTTACTGAATCACCGGGAATTGGCCATGCAGAAAGATAGTTGACATCGTGATCTTGGGGCTCCCTGAAGATCCATTTGTGGCTGTGATCTGCCGCGACTTTCCCAATCAAGCTGCCCATGCCGACGATCATCAAACAGGTCGCACATATGCCACCGGAGAATCAGGAGGATGTAATGATGATGATGGTCGCCATTTTTTCATTGTGTTAGGTCGGGAAAAAAGTAGATTGACATGCAGATCTATCGACTTACCGGACTTACAGCAAGATTGGGAGGGGAGATGGATAGAAAGATGGATAGAGAGGTACCCTTCACCATAGCTGTAGATTTCATGCGACATCTTGAAGAAGAGCTCGGGTTGCAGGCCGTTGATGTGGTGGGAATTAGTACAACCGCCAGAAGAAGAGGCGAAATTGCAGAATCCATCTTCCCACACCAGTATCCTAACGCAGTAAGCCAAGGAATATATAAAATATTTCCTTTCGGGGTGATCAGAAAGTATTCACTAATATCAAGGTTTGAGAAAAACGAGGCCTACCAGTTCCTCCTGTTCCCCCTGGACCTGTCGAAAGCGCCTCCTTGGAGATCCCATCTACCAAAATAATAAAATTTTGAGTTAGCAGGAGAGATTGATAGAGATAGATGAAGACGATGACATTAAGCATGATTTATAATATATCCTGGGTTGTCGTGATTTTCTTGATTACTTGGGTGGAGGGTAGTTCCTGGGGAGTATCCTCCAGAAGACGGCGTAGACCCATTGTGCGTCTTCATGAATGCACAGGCTCCTCAAGGTCTGCTGAAGCAGATGCGAGGCCGCTAGAGGGCCGAAGTGCTCCTCCATGAGAGTAAGCAAAGACCCCTCACGTTCCTCTCTCTCTCTCGCTCGCTCGCTCGCTCGTTCTTATTCCTCTAAGTTGGGAGACCCAACCATCCTATCGGCAAAAACTTGGTCTACCGACGAGGGAGCCCACTACAAATTTATATCCTTCTTCCCCTCTCTCCATTCCTGACTACTCTAGTACCTCCGAGTAGGGAGACCCTAGCATCCTATCGGAGAAAATTCGGTCCAGGAGATCCACTGCAATTGATATCGTTTCCCTACCTCCATTCCATCCTCCCCTCCTTCTCTATGTGCATGCATCTATATCTCTATCTCCATTTGCATATCAGTTTGTCTCTAACGAGACTCTTCTCCTCAACTTAGTGATTAAGCAAGAGAGGTTTAACCTACGATCAGAGGCTCACGTTTTCCCTTAACCCAAAGGATCTGCTTTCACCTCTTTTGTTTCAGTTCTACCATTCAAACCTGTTCGTCCCTTCCACTCCCTTCCCCTTTGGAACTTATGGAACTCGAGAAGAAGAGAGAGAAGCCCAATAATTCCCGCCTCCACAGTCCGACTCTTATTTTTCCCGTATCCATGACCCATCTCTTTCTCTCCCTACGGCCGCAAGTCCCTGTTTCCTTGTTCTGACATAAAGGCACTCGCACTCATTCCATATCAGAAAAAGGAGACACCCGACACTGTTTCCTGCGAGCTCTTTCTTCCATCCGTAGACCGGCGATGTCGCTAGATCTTGAAGGCTTTCCACCTTTTACCCATGAAGGTTGATCATGTTGATCACAAGTCATGTAGATGATCTTTCTCTACCATCCTCACTCTCTCTCTCTCTCTCACACACACACACACCATCTCTCCGTCTCTGACTCTACATCTCTGTGAGAGGAGAGTGGAGAGTGAACCAGCGTGAAAAGAAGCGGTCAGAGGGGGCATGGAGAGAAGAGGAAGATGCTTCTGAGATGTTGAAAACATAGCAGTGGCCTATTTCCAAGGATTACATGACAACTGAAACGGTGCCTTGCAGACATAGACAGCTTTCATATCTTTCCCTCCTGACAAGCACAGGACGGGGAAAGGCCATCAATCATACGCTTGACCCACTTTGACCAGCCCCTTCACCTCCGACGACCGACGTCGGAGTTGCAGTGGCGCCCAATTCTCGAACATGATTCACCATGAAAATAGCGGGCGGTGCAAGGAGAGGGCACTGTAGACCACATAGAGCGAGCGAGGGAGCTAGAGAGAGAGGAATGACCGACTTCTTTGAAATATAAATCACCCTGAGCACAGTTACGTACACTAATAACACGGTGTGACAGAGGTTTAGAATGGGGATGTCCCCTGCAGAAAGCTAGCACTAGAGAGAGGAGAGAGAGAGAGACAGACAGCTCTGGTCATGATAAGTAGTCTGTACACCATTTAGAGCGAGAGAGAGAGAGGGAGAGGGGAATAGTTCACTGCTCTTATACATGATTCACCATAGGCGCAGTTTTCTGTGGTCATGTTACGGCATTTCCAAAGGTTAGAAGGGCTGTCTCCTTGGAGCTGCATTTGGTTAGCACTCAGCGAGAGAGAGAGAGAGAGAGAGAGAGAGAGAGAGCACTGGCCATGACGACGATAGAAGTTGGAATATAGTTCTGTTTCCCTTCCTTTCTTCTTGTCTTCTTCCTGGGTGAGTTTCTTAGACACGGAACGCTGGGTTTCTGTCGGTAGGGTTCAGAGAGGGAAGATATGTGCATGAATATGCGAACCCCGCAGGCAGGTGGGGTGACATGTGTTTTGCGTGCCGCAGTATCCCCCGCAGAGACGACGGCAGAACAGCGACGCTCGGCCATGGCCGTCCCCAGTCTAACTTCTTTAATTGTTGTCAATTTGGTCTCTCGCTCACTCTCTATATCTCTCTCTCGCCCACCTCGTCTACAAGACCATTCCACGGCCTTCACATTGTCACTCTGTGATTATCTCCGGACAAAGACGCAGATAGCTTGTCATTCTCTCTCTCTCTCTCTCTCTCTCTCTCTCCATCTCCCTTCCTGCCTCCCTCTACCGTTCTTTGCTGCTTTTTTTTGTCGACTGATTCCCCTTATGGAAATGTGGATGTAGTGGGTTATGAGACGGTAGAATGGCAGAAGTGTGGTCAAGATCGCAGATCGACACCGTCATCATTTCCTTACGAATGGAATCTATCCTGTTATCTTTTTCGATGGCTTATAACTACATTTCCTGTTTAAACGAAACTTAGTTGAAGAAATTTCCTTTTTATAGGAGTTTCCTCATATTCCTCAAAATATTTCAAAAGTTGAAATAAACGGAGAATCTCTAATTAAAACTCGTAGAAAAGGAACCACCAGCCACTGTTGTAATTAAAAGACAATAAATAATATTTCTGGAATATTTTCTTGTTCCCAAATGACCCATTGAACTCCGAAATAAATGCTATTGAAAGTTTATTACACGCTTTAACTTATTACTAGTTATTCCCAGACAATTACTGTAAAAAACCTCCTGAACGAGCATAGGTCCTGCTGTTCCTTGTTCTCTCTTTATCGCTCACTTCTTGCATGCTCAAGTTGAATCAGAAGAATCCGTTGGACAAGCTAGTAACTGGTGGATTCCAAGGGATAAACGAGCAGAGAGTGTGTTTTCCTTCCTCTAACGTCATAAAGTCTAAGCCTCTCTATCTGAAAGTAAACCTAACATTAAAAAAAAACTGATTATGTTCCATTAACTTATATATATATACTATAAGTAAACATCCATCAGGGTTTTCTCCAAACTCTTGGCCAAACATTAAGATCGGTATTATTAAAAGGGATATTTCGGTTTTGATGACGTCAGTTGTTTCAGTGCCCCTTGGTCACTGTGTATCATGTACCCTATTGATCTTGTCCTGGTATCTATTTATCGTCTGATATCTCACCGTCAAGTAGGATTTTTAACTGGCACTGTCTTAGGTTTTCTACGTTCGCTACTGGGGAAGGATGCCGGTATATGTCGCTTAGACCATCCGTATATAGACAGAGAATCAGTCAAAAGGTTTGGTTCAGCCTTCACTTTCTCAGTGGCTGTCATGCAGCCTCCATTGTCATTACGCAAAACAATAAAAAATGAGTGGGCAAGAGACAGAAGGCACTGGGGATGGGGCTTCATTGGGTCATTTGGCAAAAGATACCTCGCTTGGCTGTAGTTTCTGTCATGTTGGCCGTTCTGTGATGAATTCTCTCTCTTGGACAGCCGCATTCTCAGTGGAGGGTTAAGCTTTTGTAGAACTTTATGCCATCAATCAGTCCCCAATGCACTCCAGCTCCCGCTAAATCGGTTGGCTCGGTGGAGGTTATATAGAAAATGAAGAGTGAAGCTACGGAAAGAGGTGCAGAAATCAACAAACAATGATTAGACACATAATTTATAATATTATGATGGTATATTCTCAGTGTTTCAGAGGGAGAGGGAGAGAGAGAGAGATAGGAGAAGGCTATTCTGGGCTCTTCTTTTCTGTGGGGAACCCGGTCAATGAAAGCTACTGACGATTCCAACACCTGTACCGTGGGGAAACGCAAGGACATCACGTGAATCCTCCCAAAAATCATATGCGCCTGCCTCCTTTCAACACATCTCCTCTCTCCTAACTATGACTGCGACCGCCTAAAACACACACAAACCCATCTGTCGAATTTGCTCTCTCCACGCTGCGCTATCACACGACACCTCCAATTGAATTAGGATAGCCTCTCCCAGGCATACCTCGGCTACATCATGCTATTTTTCTCATATTTGATGTAATCAACTAACAATGCCCACCCTTTCAAGAACCTTGCGACATAGTTCGGGCGAAGCTCTATGTTCCAAGGTAGAGACATATGTATATCTTGTAGCGTCTAATTAGATGATATTTTTAGATTATATTCCCAAGTTGAGCTTCAGCACGCTATTAATTCATTGGTTTCTTTTCTGTTAATTCATTTAACGTATCGCCACACCTCCAAAGTCCCTTTTACTCTTTTTCCAACGAGAATAGTCGCGTTGTGAAGGAAAGCCATGAAAATCCCAACCATCCCGTCCTAAATGTTCCGAAAGTAAGCTCTTTTGATTTTCAGACGAGGTTCACGACAAGTCTACATGTTGAGGATGAAATGGCGAAGATAACATTAGGAGAAACTGCTCTTTCGATGCCATCCTTTTCCCCGCGGGGTCCATTCGGGCGGGCGAGATGTGTCGCCCTCAGTTTGGAACAGGTGTTATGGGACGTGAACATCGATATAAAGCAACCTTTTCCTTTAATGTGACGAAAGGCTTTCTCCTTTTCCCCAGAGTAACTTCGATGAACGTATAGACAGAAAGATGGGGAGAGAGAGAGAGAGAGGCACCCACTCACCAAAGTAGTAACGAATCAATACTCCCTCTGGTGCATTCCAACCTGAGCCACAGCACTGGTGGATGTAGACATGCTCCTCCCTTCCTTTCTTCTCCTTTAATTGCACCTCTGATGACCCATCAGCTAACCCCAACTAAGCCTTTAGACTTCTTGCCTCTTTACACAAGAGATGCACACATGGGAAGATGGTGAGCCGTCGGGGGAGTGGCCCAGAGAAAACCTTTCGTACCTGAGGTTCTTGCTCCTTCCCCTTTTCGGTCGGTTCACTCCCCACGAAGATCTAACAAATGAGTGCATGGTTTGATTGTGTGAACAGAAATAACGTCCGAGGAAGAAGCTATCTAGTTCTTCTTTCCGGAAGATGAGTGTCTTGCGCTATGAACCGTTTATCAGGTGTGATTCGATAATGACTGGGCGTCTACATGTGGCTTCTCTATATGGGAGATGGACAGTGGACTTGGACGTAGATAAGCGCGAAAGGAAATGGCCTTGGGGCTTCACTCAATAGTTTCTTCCGTGGGTTTGTCTGGTTGAGGGCCTGCTGTTGATTCTGCTGCGTAATGTCACCATTAACGGGGGAGGGGGGAAGTGGGCATTGTCACTCTCATGTGACTCTAATTTTTAATCAATACATCTACGTTTCAGACCAATGAGATTGGAGGAAGCAGAAGCTGCACTCATTAATTATGGCTTTTAGAAGCATTTACCAATCTTTAAGATCACTCAAAAATACTCAAGAAAAAGTATACTGATTAGGTGGGATCAATGGATCGAGCCGACCCAGAACCTAAGATGAGCCACTTTTTAATAGACTGGGGCCACAAATTCAGCCTAAAAAAATAAATAGACTTGGCCCTTGCTACGCAATATGTCCGCATGGCGGGGGGGTTTCGATAGGATAAGGTTTGAAGCCAAAAGGGCCAACTTTCTTTGCCATCTCCCTATCATCCACGTGTAATCCAGTATGTCAATCTCCCTGTCTCTCCTTACTTGGGGCCTGGTAAAATATGTCAAGAATATCTTACAGGCCCAGGCCACGTTTGGCCAAGTAAAATGTGTCGTGACAACCCTAATATTAAGCTTTTACGTTAGGAGATATTATCTAAAAGTTTTTTATTACCTTTTCCATTTTTTAAGAAATAAGTTAATCATAATATTCCTCCATAACTTATATGATTCTCCCTTGGCATTGGAATGTTATGCCTATAGTCTAGATTTCTCCTTTGAAACACTGACTGCATGTTCATTCTCATGACTATTACCAAACTACTCCATTGAACTGACAAAACGAGGTTTCATGCCACTGGTTCATGGTACCATAAAAACAAACAATAATGGAAACGTGATACAAGCAATAACGATAAGAAGAAATATCATCATGATATGCAATGTCTAAGAGGCATTCCTCAAGATTCTAACGCATCCCTTCATCGTCAAATGATTTCCCTCATGTTTTTAGAATATTGAACTGAATTGAATTGATTTACAGGATCAGAATGCACAACCCTACCATCATGGCTAGACATAGCAATAGTTAAAGCCAACTTTGTTGGTTAGAAATTGATGAATACCAAAGATTCAGGACTGTCATTATGAGAGTACCAGTTTGTCCAAAGATCTTGGACATTTCCTCTCTTAGTTGTCTAAGAGACAACTAAGAGAGGAAATGTCTATGTGCGAAGATATAAATACAGAGCTGATCGTAACCCAAAACCAGCTTTGGTCTTTCTCCGATGATTACTGAGTGCCTTTGAATTAATGAGAGATAACCGAGAAACAAAGTTCCGTACACTGGTTTGTATTAAAAGGACAAAGAAATGATGGGACTCATAAGAATTCTCACATGAATGACGAAACCGAGTTACCAAATCACTAACTCAGACATTCGAAACGTTAGAGTTTTCAAGAAGATTTCGATCCTTAGAGGTTGGGAATTATGAGTTGTGCGCGCGAATTAGTGAATCATTTGAATAGTTATTGTGTACAATTCAAATCTTAAGCACATGAGTTATACACGGGTTTTCAGACCTTAGGATAATAGCCCCTGATATTTTTTATTTCAATGGATGATCCATAATGATTAATCAAGATCCTTTTCCAATGGACAGAGCAATTGCTTCAAAATCACACGATGATTTCTCCGATTTAGATCAAGAAGTTCTTAAGCGGCAGAGTTACTACCCGAACACTTCGTCCCTCACCGTTTTTAAGATATCCAGTTTTTATAAGCAGGGTCAATAGAGTTTATCAAACGGGTTCTGTACCGTGAACTTTGTAACGCACATATCACGCAGATAAATCCCAGAAAGTCAAACAAATGTGCTGCCCCGTAGACAATGATACGTGCTGAGAGATAGGTAAACCAAGGTACAGGATATATTCTAGAGAGGTATAACAGCTTGGTTTTAACGGTGAGACCATTTTTTTATCGATCCCTTGTTCCGATAAACCATTCAGGATCATGTTTTTAGCGCTTATCACGTCATCTCCACAAGGTCAGCCATCAAGATTAATAGAACAAGATATGTCCAGCAGAAAAGAACGACCTTGTTAGCATCATACAAACTTATATATATATGCAAGTACCAGCAGTTGCAGCAATAACTTCACACGAAAGAGAGGCCAAACTGGGCGGAAATACATCAATAACTGAGACATTTTCAATGGAGATAACAATGAAATCACAGTTTCCGATAGAATTATTATCACCATAATCAAAAAAGGATTTGAATTATAAAGAATATATGTGCGATAGGAACCTCAACATGTGTTTCTTCATACTGGTTTCTCTGAACGCTTGAAGCTTTCTCCGTAGTAGTACGCACTTCCCACCATCAAAGCGACAGTAGCCCCCTGAACCACAACTCGGGCTCTCATAAGCTTCTGACCCAAATGAGAGTTCCCTTGTCTGAAACTGACGAGGCCAGCAGTGAGCACGCCCGCAGTAAGAAGTGCACCTGAGAGGTTCACCGATCAGAGGATGCACAAACGCCACATTAGAAAAACAGAAGCTTTACGTGCACCCTCAGATATTACGTTCAGCCAATCTATCAAAACTCATGCAAGCCCTGCTTGATCCACAACATGACTGAAGAAAATAGCCAAGTTCATTTCGAAACCGAAGTTCTCGTATCTTTATTTCTATTGTTACAGAAAATTCCAGCTTGATCCAAAGACTTACTGAAGCGAATGGTCAAGTTTATTTTGCAAGAAAGGCTTATGCCTTTATTTCTATGGGTGCGTCAAAGCTCATGCAAGTCCTGCTGGATCCACGAACTGACTGAAGAAAATGAGAAAGCTTAGCTTGCAGCCAAAGTAAATGTCCTCATTTCTGTGATAAAAATAAAGACATCGGAGGGCAACCAATATAAGAATGATTCTAGCAAGGAAGCGGTGTGCTATAGATTTCCGAAGTCTGTGTTCACAAGATAAGCTGAGGTAAAGAACCGATGACCACATCAACATGAGGAGATTCGCATCATATGTTGATTCCAGCTGCATACTAATCCAGTGTATGTCAATTATATATGATTTGTCTGGTACTAGTCATTGCAGTATGATCTGAACTAGTTTCTCCAAACACTCCAGATTAATATGCCTAATTGACCTATTAGCAGACATTATAAACCATTTTTCTAAGCTAAACGACTTTTCCATTGAGTCAAACCAACCTGCACAGTTTAAAATGAACTAACCATTTTTTTCCGAAAAATCCATGAAATATTTGAAATGATTAGAAGAAAGGTGCTTATGAAATTAGCATTGAAAAAGAATAATAACCTTGATAACATCAAAGATGGTGTAAGGAAAACTATGATCCCAAGGTTCTCTGAACGTTAGAGGAACCCCCTTGTTCATTACGAAACGCTCTTCCCCACTCTTTTATGCAAGCAAAAACAAAATAACTCTAATCTATTAAATAAATGTCACCTGTTAGTGGATGGATGGAACATGACAAATATATCAACGAAAAAATCTTATAACACAGCATAACTTGTACATGGCTCAATCAACTAAGAGTACAGATTAACTTAACACCAGTGATGGCAAGGGCAGAGTAAGCAATTACGCTTATGAAGTTGGATAAAATATCAATTGACCAACCCTGTAGAAGACAAAAATGTTGGCCAAAAGTCACAAACTCATAAAACTACTCCAAACAACACGGATTCGGTTTTGAACAGAAAGGAAAGATGAAAATAAGCAAACATAAAAAGAAAAAACTGGGATAAGGAGACAATCACAGAAGTGTCAAAGAATACAGGTTGAGCAAGGATGAAGCAGAAAAAGTAAGAGTAATTTGGATCAATAATAATGAATCATAAGAAACTACTGCGGAATACAAACCGGGGTTTTCTATGGAGTAAGAGAATAAACCACCACAAAGGACATCAAAAGAAAGAAAAAGAAATTCATGACGGAAATTAAAGGAAGAGACATGAACGAGGAAGGCAAATCAGAGCTAAAGAAATAAAGCTGAAGGTTCTTCCTGATGGGCTAGGCAGGTTCAGTAATTGGAGAAAAAATGACCAAAGGAAGGCAAATTCTGATACAATAGGAAGTACAGAGTGATTAGCTAAACATTGCAGACCAAAATGATGACGATTTGCCAAAAAATAAGGAGAGTACAATCAACCACTAACGAGCAGAGTAGCGGATCACCACCATGCCACAAATAAAATCTCTCATTGAATTTGTAATGGATATCTTTTCGCATAAATGGTGGCATCTCACACGGTTATTAGTCACGAAAATTGTAAGTCACCTAGGTTGGTCATGATGCCGGAAGAAAGTTATAAATGGAAATGCTTTATAAGTTTTGGAAAGCGCTGTATCTGATGCTTTCCTGTACTGATTATCTTTATCCAAAGCGTTGGCTATAGGAAAATATGGAATATTGAAGAATGATTATATGAAACAGGGAAAAAGTGAATGAAGTGGAGATGTTAATCTGGGTCGGCATGTAGTGGTTTCTAGTGACAACTGAATGAACAAATTTTTAAAGGAACCATGACAAACCTCCCTTCGACCTCAGTGGGAGACAAGCTCTGAGAAGAGCATAGCAACAATCGCACCTACGCTTGCATATGGTTCTAAATCCTTCTCTTCACAGCACCAGGAGAAGTAGGATGACTCCTGTAGCATAATGGTACCCTGAGGTTGTATATATAATTCCTTAATAATGATTTATTGAAGATAACCGGCTAGTCTACATAGTTATAAATCGTATAAGCTCAGATCGCTTCTCACCTCTACCATTCTAAGTGGCAAATCTCTTCACGAACTTAAATCTAAGATTGGGATTATATGGCTCTCATGTAATTCAAGAACTTGGATATTAATTAGTATTTGATTTACTATTGTCTATTTCAAGCGTTTGACTCTCAGGGAATTTAAGAAAACCTATGCCCTAAAGACGTCTAGTGCATGTGTAATGGAATGGTAAGCTCACCTCATTTCCCTTAAGAATGAGGCCAAACATAAGTGTCATTGCAGCCAAGGCAAAATTTGGTGGCTATATCTAACTACTTATGTGACAAACGGAGGAAACTTGACAAAACCCAAGTTTGGTAGTAGATTGTTGCTAAAAATAGTAACGTATATTAGTATCTACATTAGATACCAAAACAATTACATCTGAAACTTTATGGATTTAATGGCATTAATGAATGCTTTTGTACACATTAGCGGGGAAAAAGTACCTGCTAGTGAAATACTATCAAATACTTAATCACTACCACTAATCCAAGTATTATCTTAAACGACTTTAGTAAATAATCAGTCAACCTCACTAAGAGAGACAAATGATAAAAAGAGAACAGCAGGTAAAATTTTCCTATATCGTCATGAAAAATTAGAACTAACTTGTTGAGATATTCCCAATCTCATTTCGTATTTTGTTGCATAATTGTGCCTTGAGATCAATGGGGATTTCTAGTCAACACAAGCAAACAATAAAATTCACCTCAATGATAAAGTAAAGCTTATTATCAGTTCATAGATCAGCGTTAATGCCAATTCCGGTGGTACACTTTCATCAAGATAAACTTTTTTCATTTTGGATATGATTTTCCCCAACCAAGAGCAGCTTCATACTCCATATAGCAAGATAGCAGTCTTAGCCCTACTGAAGATAACCAATCAAGACCCAGTACCTAGGTCTCCTAAAGATCCTTCAACAGCCTCGTTCTCATTGTGCACATGGTTTTTGCATCCCAGCATTGCCAATCCAATAGCTCAATGTGGATTTTAAACAGCAATTTTCACCGGAATAAGCACATCATGCAGATTGTGTTGTCAACTTGTATAGAAAGAAACCAACATAACTGTCATGTGGGAATCCTTAGGCATCCTCTTTCATATCTACCATATAAATTGAGTTGCAGAGGCCAAATCTGGTTCTGATGACCATAACTTACCAGAGCTGGTTCATTTTAGATTCTCCTAAACAAACCTTTGGCATCAAATGAACAACCATAATGAGTGCCATGCGGAGTCATTTTCTGCCACATTTATGTAGCATCTATGTAGCTTTCAGTGTTCCTTAAGTTGTCTATGATCAAGCATAATATAGTTCTGCCAGATTCAGGTCTTACCTTTTTAAACATGATAGCTCCCCAACTACATGTGACTACTGTCATCTAGTCCTAAGAAAATGTTAGCGCTCTCTGATTTAACTGCCTTATAGTCATCCTTAGAGAGAGAAATTCTCCAGGCTACAAATTTCACTCATCAATTCTTGTGCCCTTCCAATCCAAATTGAACAGCCTTGGCATTCGAACCAATATTTGCACCTCATTATGGAAAAGGAGGTGAGATGGTGTTCTTCATTAGACAGAATTCTCACACTGCCTTTTATGCTGAGCCTTTTTATTGGAGGTCATCACGAATTGGATAAACCAGAGGAGCCGATTCATGCACCTCTGCCCGAGCACATAAAATGGACTGAATCCCAGATGGATGTGTGGGCTTTTGCTTTAACCAACGGAGGGGCTATCAAGACCAAATTATGAATTGATTTGTCTCGGAAATTGTTCAGAAAGTAGTGGAAGCAAAGAAAAGATCCTTTTAAATAGTTCATGATGGATCTAATAAAAAAACACAACGAACTATTCCAGATACCCAAATAAATCAGTTTATAGAGCCCTCAAAGTTATGAATCAAAGTTTCCTAGTTCAGAGTGCATGTTCTGCAATTAGGAGTGCAAGTTCGAGAAAGAACCAAAAATTTCAAAAGAAAGGCTTTCATTTTATCAAATGGAGGACGTGAGAGAAGTAAAGGATGTGAGACTTTGCAATAACAGACTATCTTGACAAAGCTCTAGGTCCAACTAGCAGTGAAGATTGGGTCAGCCGGATGGCAGGAGGACCAAGGATAATAATAGATAATCAGACATTGTGATAAATGCACTGCCTTGATTACCAGTGCAGGTGGAGTAATCAATATTTTCACTCGTTCCAAGGAAATTTTCATAACAGTCGAATGATCTCTATCAGTAGTCTACCCAGTTAACAAAAAAAAACAAGAAGACATTTATGAAGTTCACTAGGGTAAAGATGGAAAATAAGTGGCGAAATTTAGTGTACCATCTGATCCAACTATGGATGAATTAAAATTCATTTACCAAGACAGATTCGCCATTGAACAACGGGTTGATCTTTCAATCCTTAAAGAAGCAGAGCAAAGTATTGGATTGAAGACTTAATGATGCTGCAGATCTGCTAATACCAATTCAGAATTCAAAAAGAAGGGGGAAAAAAACTGTAATGGAAAGCTGAAGGCAGATTTATCAAGCTATTTCACCGGCAGGCAATGATGAGACTGCAGAGCTGGGTAGTGTAGATATTCCCGAAAATGAAATTAGCACATTCTCAAGGAAAATGGGTCGGGGAACAATTCCCAAAAGAGAGAGAATTAAAAACCAAACCAGGGCAACAACAGGAAGATGCATTTTACATGCTCTTGTATTAGAGTCGGTGCATTTGTATAGCATGTGATGCAAATAGTTGTTGCAATCTGGCATGAGACTATGGCAGGAATATATGTAAAAACTCCTGACATGGCATAACAAAAGAAAGAACAGAATGTAGCATGAAACAACCAGTAGTTGGTTAAATCAAAAGAAACAAACAAGAGAATGCTAAGGGAGAAGTTCACCAAGTCATTTCTGTCAAAAAACAGAGCAGCGAATCATCTCAAGGAATGGATGAGAACAGGTAATAACTGGGCAAGGATGGATAAACGATCTTTAAATAGTAGTATAAATCATGAGTTGGAACTTTCTCGCTGAAAAACAAGTGGTCAGCTTTGGGAAGAATACTTTGCACTCATTTAGGATTTATTCAGATTACTACAGATCTTTTTTCTTTGACAGTAAAATATTTGAGTAATGTATTCAGTCATTCAATTGGGATGGAGGATATCCGCTGAAATCAAGCACCATATTTATACGATTTCTACGAATCTGATCATATGGGAATTTCACTGTACCGGCAGCCACTGGGTTTCATAATAGTTACAAGCTCAAACCTCTCAAAACTTTTTACCAAATCTATTACGGCACAAACTGCTGACATTAATCCAGTGTTAATTGATGCTCCAGAGGATTGAAGAAACTCTGAAAACACCAAATTTATCTCCTTCCCCCTTTCCTCTGACTAAAGTTATCACGACCGATATGTCCGGAGGACTTTGTTCAGAAAGTAATTGCACTAGAGTATTTATATTAGAAGGCAAAAAGTAATGTCCGGAGGAAAAAAACGAAACTTTGAATGAGGCCGATATGGAAAATGAGAGATGACGAGTAGAGGAAGCGTTCGAATTCTAACAACAATAGCGACTGAGGGTGATTGCAAAGAAAATCCAGACAACGTTGCCGGTGCTCCAAAAATCATTAAATGGGACAATCTAAAAATATCGACGAAAAAATGTATTTTCACAATAAGACCGGTATCTTCCTCATAAATCATCCAGAACAGAAATTAAGATAAGACGAGAAATCTGGCACGGATGGTTTATGTGAATAATCATTGGCCTACAGATTCAAATCATACAGGCAAACGTTCATCTCTGGGTTCTGCGTTTCATACAACGATACGGATTCGTTTGAAGGGTGTAGGCTCCGAAAATGCTCTCTCCGGAACATCATAAACCTTCCGTACGCGCTGACATCCTCAAAAGAAAACGCTTAGAGAAAAGAGGAAGGACGAAAACTAAAATCCAAATCGGAGAAACGCAGAAGCAAAACAAGATGACGAAATTCACGGGAAGATGCTCATCATGTGTTCTTCCTCCTCGGGACTCACCGACTGGAACGAGAGGATTCTTTATGGGTTTCTTCGACTCGAAGAGATCGAGGTCATCCAGCTGACGAGGAGGCTCTGCCACCGTGGCCGTCGTCTCACCCATCCCAAAGGCACTCACCGCTCTGGCCAAGAGCACCAGCGGCGGCCACCACGAGCAAGCGAGAGAGAGAGAGAGAGAGAGAGAGAGAGAGAGAGAGAGAGAGAGAGAGAGAGAGACCGCAGGCCCACATTTGCTAGCGGGGAACGCGCGCAGCGCAAATTCGGGCAGTACAGGCGACATTGATGACGTCATCCTCTAAAGTGAAAATGAAGTACGCGAGGCGTACTGTAAACGGGTACAATCAGGTTTTATTGGGTCTCGGATTCTTTTCTCATCCACAACTCCTCCTAAACGATACGATAAGTTCTAATAAAATTAATTATTTATTTTTGCAATTAGACGATTGAAAGTTGGGAACCCAAAAAGAGTCTCTTTTAATAGATGACTTTCTTTGGGGGGTTCATAAAACTCACACCATCTATGGATTAATTATTTTTGAATAATTTCACTCTTCAAAAATTTGTAACCTTGATCTCTAAAATCAATAAACCGTAAAGTTGGAGAATTAAATGAATATTTTTTTACTGATGAAAAATACACAGAAGATAGATTACAAGATTAAAATATACTTAGTGATGATTAAAGTGATGAATGAATAAATACTTCTTTATGTGCAATCTAGAGTTTAATTAAATATAAATTTAATAATTAATAATTAACAATACTTAAATAGTAATTCAAGAATTTTTTTGGAGTCTCATTATATTCAAATTTTAAATTTGGTAGATTTTAATGAGTGAAATTACTATTTTATATGATTTTATAAAAACTATCCATATTTATAGAATATGCTATAATTAGAAAGTAATGATTAACACATTTGAATAAAAGAAAATTATTGAAGTAAAATATGACTATGAAAACTTAGTATATTATGTGCCTATGATGTTAGATCATTAATTTAGAATGATTGTGATTTCGAATAAATTGATTGAATTTAGACAACTCACATTGTCACAAGATTTTTTAGAATATTTATGAATATACTTTATAAAATGATTAAATACTTTGAATCACCAATGTTATGGTTATAAATATCAAGATCATGTTTGAACCTGTCTGCTAGAGAATCATATTTGTATTTCAGAAATTTTGGATGTCTTGATATCTAAATCACTATTAGACATACTATTGATTTTGTTATAACTATATTGCATCATTACCAAACATAACCAAATCGATTTCCTTTGGAGATATTTGTTGATACTTGAAATATTATAGATTGATTTATTATGAAGATATCCAAATCCTTAAATGACATATCATATTGATTTTCCGCCATTTGAATTTCTAACTATTGCTGAAACTATAGATAACGGGAGTTTGCGAAAAATAGGGGTGGATTCAAACTTTATTTCTCTAAAAATATAAACCTTTTCAATAGCTAGTTATGAACAACTGACTCTAATCTCTCCATGATCTCAAGAGCTTCACTAATATATTGTGTAGAAAGTTTTATGAGAAATTGTGAAGTATTTATTTATTTTAACAACTCAAAAGCAAGTAGTCAAGGTACCATTTTTAAGTGATCAATGATTATCCTCAACCTAGTTAAAGTGGAAATGACTTCCACATTCTACCATTATTCCAACAAGATGAAGAGATAAAAATCAATTCTCAACCATTATTTTAAATCTTTGATATTTTTTATGAGATAAACTTGTGATTAAAACATGACTTAATCACTTAAAAGAGTTGATGATGGGATCACAAGGTCTAATGAAGAATCTTCCACTCATAAAAAACAACTCAAGTCAATAGAGGATGGTCAATCACGGATTCAACCTTTGAGGTCAACTTTTCTAAGAAGAAGTGTCAGAATTAGGGTTCTTCTACCTTGACGAGTTCATCTCCAAGTCAATCGGCACCTTCCTCTTCTATTGGATCCAACATGGAATATTGGATCCAGGACCAATGGGTCCCTACTAGTAAGCAAGAGGATCCATCCACAAAGGATGGCCCAACAAGAGGAAGAAGAAGAATGAGAAGAGGATGCCATGTCCTCCTCACGTCCGTCCTCTACTTAAAGGAGGGGTCGTTTTCAACCAAGAGGCACCACATGACACCTCTTGGGAAAGGGTGTCTCCGTCGCCCCTTCTCTCTCGTTCTCCCTCCATTGGAAAACCACCGCTCTTCTTTCTCCCTCTATAAATGCATAAGCTCTCTTGTGTTTAAGGGAGTGATTTGACATATTTAATCAAAGTTTATCTTACCTTCTTGAATTAGAGGGTTGTCCCCTTCCCCCTCTCGCCCCTTGGACTGGGGGTTCCTCCCCTCCCTTCATCGCCTCTTGGATTAGCGGCTTCCTCTCCTTTTCTCGCCCTCTTGGATTAGGGGGACCTCCTTCTCTTCCTCATTCGCTCTATCATCGCTGTCATCCCACTTCCTTGCCGTTCGCTCGCCACCACCACTCCTCCTTCTCTTCCTTATTCTATTATTTTTAATTATTCAAATACTTCGTGGACCTCAACTACCCAATCAAGGCCTCCTATTTTCTTGACTCATCATTAGAGATTCATCAACAAGGCTCGTAGATCTCAAGCCATTGGAATCAATAAAATCAATTCAGAGTCTTCTTTGGCAAGGTACATTGATTTCAACTCCCTTTGTGAAATTCTTCTCAAGTAATTACAATCTTAATTCTTCTAAAATCAGCAAGATTAGCCTACTCCCAATCTTCTTTAACCTAGTCAAAAGTAATCTTAAATCCCAAACCTCCTAGTCAGTACTAATATTTCTCTTTGGTCCCACATCAGTTAACCATTTAATCAAGTATTGACCATTTAAAGCTATAGATTTTGAAGAAAAAATTAATATAGATTCTATGTGAACTGGTCCTAATAATTAGTTGTTGTTATTTATATATTTGATCAATTGGAACCCAAGAATGGAATTATTTATGACAAGTAAACCTAGAGAGGGGGCCAAATCACTAGAGAGGAGTGATATACACTAGTTGCTACCTCAATAATGATACATGTTAATGCCCTAGTATTAATACTATAATACGAACATTTATTTATTGAATATTTACTGAATATTTAATAAATACTGTGAGAGTTTGTTCTAAGAATTATTCAATATATAAATATATCTATAATGTTAATGCCCTTGTGAACTTATGGCTAACAAACAAATCTAAGTTAATCTTTCATACATATATATTTGGGAATCTAATGCTAACGTTTGTGATGAAACATTTGAAAAGCATAAAAGATCAAAGTCACTTGTAAACCTCAAATTTATTATCTAGATAATGACATGCTGATAGCTTCAATGAGGAAATATCTAGAAATTCACAAAGTATCAAAGTCATGCATATAACTCAAACCCTACAATCAGGATGATGACACATTGAAATCCTACACAAAGAAATATTTAAAAAATCATGAAACATCAAGTCAAGTGTAAATCTCAAACTTAGAATCTAGTAAGTGACATATCAACAAATTATGAGAACACAATGATGGATAAAACATTTTTATCTAAACTTGACCTCAATAGTAAAGTTGTTTGTTAACAAGAAGCACATCTCTAATTCAAATTTCAAATGAAATGGACAAGAAAATAGAAAGCTTCAAAATATGAAAAAGATAAAGGTTGTCGGTGCACTTTCTAGATAATAGAAAGTTTTTTAAATTTGCGTACCATTTTTCAAGGCAAGAAATGGTTAGAGAGCATTAACGATAAAAGGAAAAAAAAGCTATGAGGATAAGAGAATGGTTCACCAATTATCTATCTCTCTATCAAGGTCTAGTCACCATGAGCTTCAATGGAGTCTCGAATATTATGCCATATATTCCTTTGACATTGGTGATTCAAAGCAATATCAACCTCAAAGGTTGATGCTCTTTATTAGGCCCTACGGTACTTAGGTGGTGAGGGGAGAGGTATTTGGGTTCAAACATGTGGCGATAATAACCTAGTTGAGCTTATGAAAGGTGAGATTTTTTTATGTGTCAAAATTAGTGTGATTGGGTTACTGATCTTGTGAAAATCAATATGTATGTCCAAGAAAAGTAGTAAACTTTTGTGGGGAGGATCATTTGAGATTAAGTGTAGTCAAGTGAGGGATGAACTAATATAAAAATCTTTAGCATCTCTAGTGGTGAAGGGAGATTTGTGAGAGAACTAGTGACGTGACTCAGTCGTTGTATGTTAAATCACACAAATCTAAAATTTATAAAACTAGAAAATACGATTTTTCAGATATTTAGAAGTATTTCTGAACAAATATATCAATTATAATTCAATAAAACTTCTAAAAATAGCGGTAATTTTCCAAGTTGATCACAGGGATATAATATAATATTTTGTAATTATTCAGATTTTTTCTCAATGAATACGATTTTCTATGAATTTTATACTAGGAAATGAAAAGGAAATATATTTAAAATTCACGAAAAAAAGAAATAAGGGTGTGAACGTCAGGATGATGTCAGTGCCCGGCGAACGCGAATCGGGTGAAAACAGAGTTCCGCCTGGCAATTCTTACGTAAGCGATTACAGACGATTTAATTAATCAAATTAAGATATGTAAAAGCCGGAAGAATCGTAATTGAACGAAGTACATTTTGGTAAATTAAAATCACACAAAGTATCACTAAATGAAGCGTAAATTAAGTTGAAAGTAGGAAAATAGAGTTCCGGCGTCGCGACAGCGATGCGTTGGCAATGCACCGGAATCCTAAGCGTTCAGGAGGATCGTCGTGCAGTGTCCACGGCCTCGAAGGCTCTCCTTGGACAAAGACGACATGGGCAATCTCTAGATCTCCTTGCGAAGTCTAGAGATTAATGAAATGAGTCGTCGACTCGTCTCTGGCGGCTGTCACCCGGCGGAGTGGAAAAACGGTAACTTTACGGCTCTTCAGCAGCTGTCACCCGACGGAGAGGAGCTAGATGGAGGTGGGGCGCATGTCAAGGAGCTTCATCCTCAAGTCCGCGCAGCAAGAGGAGGCTCTTCATCGCATCTGGTACGCTCTCAGGAGGTGGCAACTCGTCTCCTGGCAGATCGTCCTCTTCCCGATGATGACTTGTTCCTCGATCAATCAGAGATGATTTACTCGATGGATTCGCGATATCACGAATCGTTCAGCAATTTTAGTAGCAATGCTTCGCGAATCGCGTTGATGAGATTTTTGCCAATGATCCAGCAATTCTTGTTGCTTAATCCTTCACCGGCGATCTGCAGGAAAGTCGTGATAATCAGATAAAAATATATGAATTTTGACTTTGGGAGGATTTGAACCCTCACCGGTTGTCCGCCCCTTCTGAGGAAGGTGTGACGCGGGTTTAGTCCCACATCGGTTGTGTGCTGATTTTTCGGGCGAATATATAGTAATGTTACATTTCTAAGTAAAGTTCCTTCTCTTGCGTGTACGACCACTCCTTGCCCCACAGTTGGCTAGCCACCGGTGACGTGGAAGGGGAGTGGCGCATACGTGCCCCTAACTATTGGTCCAAGCCGCTCGAGCCCCTGCTCGCGGCTACTCCCCGACTGTGCTTCCGACCCGCTTGCGGGCTCGGCTAGCCGGCGGGTCCCCCTCATTTTGTCTTTTTTTTATTTTTTATTTCTTTTTCTTCATTTATCTCAAAAGTAAGATTGTAAAAATCATATAAATTCATGTAAAATCACATAATTACCTAAAAATTCACATTAATCAATTGAAAACCACTTTTCACATTTAACACAAATATAAGTCTATTTATCATGAGTTAAAGCTAAAACTATATTATTTACTAATTATTAACTCATGATAATGAAGACTTATCAACTAACATTGAGGAAGAGAGAGAGTTTTGAGAGAACTCTCATTGAAAAAGAGAGAGTTGTGAGAGAACTTGTGTTAGCACATCTTAGAAAACTAGAATTGACAAAATCCGTAGAAACTCAATTCACACCTTGATAATGCATAAATAATGTGTTATATACAAGATAAATCGCATAAAATCTCCCAATTTCAGGACACAAAATTAATTGATTTACTAATGAATTCACATGATTATGGCAAGCATTGGCATTCATACACATTTTATGTATTTCATTTGTTTCTCATTGAATTATGTATTTTCAAATACTTGATTTACATCATGTGAGAATATGATGTAATTCTTAGTCTTCTCATTGTTTGAGCTTCAGATGCTAAGCATAATTTCATAGATTTTCAAGGAATCAAGGTTACACTTGAGACTTAGGTGGAAAATCATGAGCTTAAGGCTCATAACCACTTAAAAAGGAAGGAGACATGGTGATAATCAGGTTGATTTCAAGGCAATCTATGATTCAGATATTCTTAACTAGGAAATAGATCTTGATTAGCATTAGAAATCATCACACAATCCTTTTGATCGTATGACATCATTCACATTTCGACAAATTCCTTTTCATGCCTAAACCATCTTTCTTCCCCTTTCACACCTAATTTCTTCTCCATCATGATTTATTGGTGATTCCTTTCAACCTTAATCAACAAATAAATAAATCTCATTCCACAATTCCTTGAGGAAATGACCTGACTGATTCTATATTAATTTTGATTGAGTGAGAGGTAGACATAATGACACTACAAATCTTAACTTATCAAATGGTGCCATTACTAGAGAATTTGTATGCCCATTGAGGTTATTTATGTTGATTGAATTGATAACTATTTTTGTTTCTTGAGTTTGATTTTCAACAAATAGGTTTACATGGGTACAAATTAATCCATGTGAGGGAGCTTTATTGAACAAGGTATAAGACACGAAAATCAATTAATTGTCATCATATCTACCTATGTTTTACTGATTTTTAGGAGGTTGATTTGGATAGATATCCATGAATCTCTGTTAATTTACCTTTTTTATTGAATCGTTTTGATTATTTGAGTAATTAGACTTCGAGATCAAATTTTTAGATGTCTTTAAGTGAAAATACTTGAATTATTTTATTCGATATTTCATCTCAACAAAAGGAAGGTTACTCAAGACAGCTTTGATTATTTGATTTCAATTCATCTATCATTCATCTAGCACATATTTTAGTGAATTAATAGAGTTGTTTCACAAAATTTTAATTCTAAGTTCAGTCTAGCCCATAGTACTCGAAATATTTTGATGCAAGGATGTAGATCAGTCAAGAATAAAGAAATTCTTGTAAATTTAGGGACAAAAAACACATCTCACATTGAGGTAAACCTTGAATAGAAAACACAAATGGAGGACAACTAGAGGGAGAATAGAAAAATGTGTTTGCGAGACCACTCAGTACCCCTCCAATATAGACCCATAAATAAGATTAATGCACCCATAGAAATTAATACAAACTTTAGAGTTGATCATCATCTGAGGCAGATGCTTCCTCATTTTCATGGCATGACCCATGAGAGCCATATAAACAGTAGAAGATTTTTCCAAAGTTTATGAAATTTCTCATTATCTTAATATTCTAATTGAAATTGTGAAGATAAGACTTTTTTCATTCACACTCAAAGATAAAGCAAAGGATTGGCTGCAGGCAGTAGCTCAAGAGTTGAACTCTTAGAGTGAGATGGATGCAACATTTTTTAAATAAAATTATTCAGTATGTAAGACTAACTCAATTCATAGAGTTATTAGAGATTCTGTGTAGGTGCTGTAGAAGTCATTCTATGAAGCATGGGAGAGGGTTAAAGACTACACCTGCCAATGCCCACATCATGGAATTTAGAATTACCAGTTAGTTCAAATTTTCTATGAAGGATTAAATGAGAAAGCCATGCATATGATTGACATAGCTTCAGGAGGTACATTTATGAATAAATATGGGGATGAAGTAATAGAATTGATTGAAATATTAGTTGAGAATAGTGCACACTATTATGTCTTAAATTAGAATGGTAGGTTCACGAGACCTTGGAAAGGAGGTATTCACAATTTGAAGAATATGAAGACTAGTTTATTGATTGATAAAGTTGAGAAACTAACTTAATGTGTGTAGAGATTGATACAAAAGTATTCAGCAGTAGGTTTTGATCATCAACAACTTAAAACAGATCAAGATATGAGAGCTTGTGTATTATGTTCAAGCTATGAGCATGTGGAGGTCGACTAGTCAAAATATGATTAGGTAATGACAATCAATCAATTTCATTCTAATCATGTAGTGAATGATTGGCAAGTACAAGGGTCAAATCAAAATCATAGTAGAAATTTCAAGAATAATCAAATGGGTATGAATCAAAATTCTAGTTTGAGAAGAAATCAGGATAATGAATAGCAACCTAATTGTTTTAAATATTTACAGAATTCATCTACGTAGAGGATCAATAATTCATGCTATGATTCTTTTATGCCTAACCATCAAATTCAGCAACCTACAAGATTTAATGATTTATCAAGACAGAAATTATTAAAACAAATGTCGCAGGAACAAAGGGAATTATGACAGAAAATTGAGTGTATAAAGTTTCAAATTGAAGGTTGATATCAACCTAATCAAATCAGATCAGATAAACATCTTGGCAAGAGAATAGAAGTGGGTAATAGAAACAAAGAATCAAGACAATTACCCACACAGCTAGAAGCCAACCCAAGATACTTAGGGAGATCATTAAGTCAACGTCAAGTACACCAAGTTGAATTCAATGATCAAAATTGAGAAACACTCAACATGATTTCAAAATTGAGAAATGGTAAGGTGCTTTCAAAATTGTGAAGGAGAGGATGAGGAGTAAGAAATGGAAGCATTGGAGGAGGTGATTTCGACGAAGAATAAGGATAAGAAGAAGGAAGGTATGGAATCCAATCTTTACACATATGCACCTCTGATTTCATTTTCGGAAGCTTTACATGATGTTAAATTAAAGAGTGCTGATTTTGATAAGAAGATTCTAGAAATTTTTAAACAAGTAACAATCAATATATCATTAGTTGATGTAATTTAACATATCCCATCTTATGTGAAATTTTTAAAAGGTTTATGTACACCAGCGAGGAAGTAAAAGAGAATTCAATTGTCTGAAACCATTAGCTCAATTTTGTTGAATCATATTTTTACTGAGAAGCCTGATCTAGGCCCCTGACGAGACTAAATCGTATGGTCGTTGAATGCACACGATTCAGTGTCAAAACAAAGTCCTAATCTTACCAATTTATGATTAATCAAAGTAATTAATTAGTATAATGGTAATTAAGGGTCGAATCCACGGAGAATTAGGGAAATTTGAGAGATATCTTTGAAATTCGGTCAAATCGGATGATGAAATTAGGTTAGAAATTGGAAAATTTAGTATATTAAGAAAGATAACTCAATTTTGAATCCACGGAATCAAAAATCAAGTGATTTGGATGAGAATTCGAAGAGTAATCGAAGTTTGAAGTTAAGAGAAATTTTTGTATCACGAAATGATTAAAAACAGAAATTAAAACTAAATTAAACTTAATCTACAATACTTAAAGTAAAATTAACACTAAATGATGAAAGATTAAGATGAAAACAAACAATCTAACCCAAATTAGCCTTCGAAATGATCCAATTAATCGCCGGATGCAAGGCTTTTCATTCCGAATTTTCGAAGATGAAAGAAGAGTTCAAGACTTGATTTCTTCCAATTCTTTCAATCAAACATTGAAATTAAACATCCAACAGAAGCGGAAATGAGTTGCGAACACAATGCAAAAGATGGCACGCGAATTGGAGCTCTAAACAAAGAGAATTTGAAGATTGATCGCGGGTAGTTCTTCCGTCGCGAAGAACGGATTTTATAAAATTCGGAAATGATCGTGGCCGTCTGATCTGATGGAGTTGATCGTGATGGACGATCGCGATGAGATGCCTCTTCACGAATCGTCGCGACGATTCGACGATCGTTCGATTGTGATCGTGCGGTTAAGATGTGATTGGATGTCCATCTGATGTGAATAATCTGGACCGTTATAACTCTCGATCAGACAGTCGTGATTTATTCACTTAAGTGAGTATTTAGGCATGTGGTTGATCTCTGATCGTGTGGACCTCGATTCCACGTGATCTACGCACGCTATTTGTCACGATGTCGATCGGACGCACGAGATCACGCCACGTGTCCTGTATATAAGAAAACTAAGGGACTTTAGTCCCATCCGGGAAAAACAAAGGAGTATATTCGGGTATATAAGATATGACGATTAAGAGGGATTAATACTTTGTCTTCCGATAATCAGAAGACCTATATACTTTATTAAATAAATACATATAGTAAATATAAATACGCCATGTGTCACATCAGCGCCACGCAGGCGCCCGCGTGCTATCCACGTGGCAGAGCCACGTGGCCCCGAGTACCACGTCGCATCCACGTGTACACGCGCGACATATAACCCCTTTTTGTGATTTTTTTAATTAATTTAAAACATTTAAAAATCGAAAATAAATATAAATAAATTCAGAAAAATTCCAAAAAAATTCTATAAAATTGTAAAAATCATAACTTTCAAAATACGACTCCAAATTAATTCAAATTTGTTTTGTTGGATTCAAAATTGAATAATCTATCATTAAAATAAGAAGAGAATAAATTTTAATTAATTTTATACATTTATGTATTATATAAAATAAATTTATATAAATACATAAATGTTAATAAATATCTTTTCTCTCATATTTTCACTCTTAAAACATGATTATGATCATAAATATAATTAGGATTAAAGATTGTAATGTGTAATTATTTATAATAATCCATAATTTGGTGTATTTTAAGATCATAACATGAATTTACACAAAATGATAGAAATATACTTAAAATATGATAACATGCATATATTTGTAATGATTAATGCCTTAATTTGCATTAATAATTATATAATTACATGCATAAATAGCATGTTATCAGCCCCCCATTAATTAAATGTAAGATCCAAGGTATGGTTTTCACACATTCACTACTTGATTCAAGGGCTAGTGTGAATATTTTACCTAAGGCCTTATATGATTTGTACAAAATTAGTGATTTACAACCCCTATAAGTAGAATTGTAGTTGATGGATGGATTAATCCATCAATCTTATGGAATATTAGAGGATATAAGCTTGAAGATAGAAAATTATTATTTCCCTATTGGTTTTATTATCATAGATATAAAGAGAACGAAGAATGTAAGCCATGCTCTAATTATTCTTAGTAAGCCATTCTTGGCCACAGGTAAATCCACAATGGATTAGGGAATGGGAACCATAGAATTAAATTTTGGTCAAGAGAAAGTGAAATTAAATATCTCAAAATCATTACGAAATCCAAATCACTCTGAAAACTTATGCATGATTGATATAATTGATGAGTGTGTAGATGAGCTCTTCGGCAGAGAGATAAGCTGTGCGTTGGAGGATTCATTGGGCTCAACCAAAGAGAAATTTATTCCAAATCAATCCAGCCTTTGACCAAATTTGAAGTCATTGCTTGCACCTATGAAGTATACGTTATTAGGCCTAAATCATTCATTTCCCATGATTATTTCATCTTCATTAACAAATGATTAGGAGGGAAGATTAGTTGAGATATTGAAGAAGTACAAAGGGTGATTGGATGGAATTTATTGGATATTCAAGGCTTCAGCTCCAAGGTATGTATGCATCGTATTATTATTGAAGATAATGCTCAACTAGTGATGTGCAGCAAAGATTAAATCCAAAGATGCTTGAGGTAATCAAAGTTGAGATTGTAAAGTAGTTTGATGTGGGGATAATTTATGTAATCTCCAACAGCCCTTAGGTAAGTCCCATTCACGTTGTCCCAAAAAAATTAAGTATAATAGTTTCTACAAATGCAAAAGGGGAAGAGATACAAATAAGACTGACCACCAGTTGGTGTGTTTGTATTGATTATAGGAAGCTCAATCAAGTAATGAAGAAAGATGACTTTCTCTTATCATTTATTGATTAGATTTTAGAACATATTGGAGGACAATGTTATTTTTATTTTTAGATGGTTATTCAGGTTACTTATTATCAAATCAACCTTTATTCAAAAGATCAAGAGAAGATGACGTTTACATGTCTGTTTAGAATATATGCATTTATAAGAATGGCATTTAGATTATACAATGCACTAGCGACATTCCAAATATGTGTGTGTAATATTTTTAATATAATGGGAGATTATTTTTAAATTTTTATGGATGATTTTCCTGTATTTGGAAAAACTTTCGATGATTGTTTAATCAATTTGACTAAAGTGATGTAGATTTATGTTGATAAAAAACTCATTCCAAGTTGAGAGAAGTCCTACTTTATGGTAAATGAGGGTGTGGTGCTTGGGCATGTAGTCAATCGGTGTGGATTAGAAGTCGACAAAGCAAAAATTGAGGTAATCAATGATCTTCTTCTACCTATGTCTCTTAAATAATTACATGCTTTTAGGACATGTTCGGTTTTATAGAAGATTCATCGAAGGATTTGTGAATTTAACTAAACCCCTCACTCAATTACTTCCTAAAAATACTAATTTTATGATTAGCATTGAAGGAAAATAAACTTTAATGAAATTGAAACAAGCATTGATATAAGCCTAATAAGTTTTTATTATCATGAGTTAATAATTAATTAATAATATAGTTTATTTCTTAACTCATGATAAATAAACTTATATTTGTGTTAAATTGTTAAAATTGATTTTTAGTTAGTTAATGTGAAGTTGTGGCTAATTCTCTGATTTTATGTAAATTTATATAATCATATTTTTGAGATAAATAAAGAGAAATGTAATAAAATAAAAATATAAAAAGGGAGAACTCCTAACAAGTTGGGTTTGTATGTAAGTCGGAAGCATAATCGAGTGGAGCTACAAGCAAAGGGCTTAATTAGCTAACGACTGATATGGGCACATGTGCATCACTCCCCTTTCACGTCATTAGCAGCTAAACAATCTTATTTTAAAGAGAGAGGCTTAAAAGTAATATTACATTCCCGATCAAGTCACTTTCTCGCGTGTGTACGACCACTTCTTGCCCCACAGCCAGCTGGCCACTAGTGACGTGGAAGGGGAGTGGTAGACACATGCCCCCATCGGTTCAAGCCGCTCGAGCCCCTGCTCACAGCTCCTGCCCGACTATACTTCCGACCCGCTTGCGGGCTTGGCTAGCCGACGGGCCTCCCTCATTTTGCTATATTTTTATTTTTATTTCTTTTCCTTTATTTATCTCAAAAGTAAGACTATAAAAATCGTATAAAATCACATAATTACCCAAAAATTCACGTTAATCAATTGAAAACCACTTTTCACACTTTAACACAAATATAAGTCTATTTATCATGAGTTAAGGCTAAAACTATATTATTTACTAATTATTAACTCATGATAATGAAGACTTATCACTAACCTCTTCCATCACACAAGAAATGGACAAAATAAATTCGTTCATACTTGCATAACAGAAGAGGGACTCTTGGGGTCTTGTTCTATGGCCAGCCCTAGTTTGGAACCACCAAAGAGTGCCTCCACAAGTGGAGACACGAGACATTAAATATCCTTTTTTAGTTCCTATTTTACCCTAATACAATTCAGCAATGACTTCCCTTTGTGTCTACTATCAAAGCAATTTACAAGAGCATTTATGGTCTGCATATTTCAAGACTGAGTGCCACTACCGCCCTACTCTTCTTCTATTGGTCAGCAATTTGAAGCCTATCCCCTCAGCCAACACGATTGGGTCTTGGGCTGCAGTTGAGCTCCTTGTAGTTGGGCTTTGGGCTGCATGTTTGGGCCTTGGCTTCAGTTGGACCCCAACTGTCTTCGTGAGCCTTGACTCTAGATGGACTTCATTTAGACTTCATGAAAATATACATCCACAGCCTTGACACCATCTGGACCTTGGCTGGGCTCATGGAGATCTACCTTGAGCTCTAAGCTTTAGCTGGTGCTTTGTTGGTCTGACCCTTGTAGGCCCATTAACTTATGGGCACACTTCCAAGTCTTTGGATTTGTCTTTCGCCCAATTCTTCGATGCTTAAACTTTAGGATTTCATCTCTTTTCTTCCCAATAGAGGCCTAATACTTTGCACATGCAAACTTAGAGAATAATCAAGAGAATTGAGTTGTTGAACTTCACAAAGTCCAACAACATTAATCAATAGATGTGCTAAAAAATGTGTAAACCTGCGACTTAAGCAATTATGTATGGATTACACAAAATGAATGATTTAAGTGATAACATGCATGATTTCTGTCAAATATATGTGTGAAATCCTATAATTTAGATACATCAAAGTGTAAATATATGCATATTATTAGTGCCACATCATGCCAGAAGTCCCAAAAGTATCGTCTGAAAGTGCTACATCACTTGCTAGAGAGATCCATCGAAAGAAGGGTTGACCATGCTGTCACCATTGTCTAAAAGGAGAAGGGAAGAATTGACCACTCAATAGAGGCCTAGAGTGGAATTGAGGAATGAATGAATGAACTCACCAATCACAAAAGGCATTGAACGCACGAATGGAGGAAAGAACAAATACCATATTCGCAACTACCATCAAGATTTTAAAGATAATTGATAATATCTATTTTATCATAAAATAATTAATTATTGTCTTTATATCCTAGATAGTGATACATGTGAAAACTTGAGTTCTCGATATCATGGCACTTCACGAGCTGCTTGATCAGGTGTGTTTTGTCACGTGGCATGCTAGTGACATAAAGATTAACCTACCACAAACTATTGCTAGTTGGGAACTTAAGTTCTTGGTACTGTGGCACTTCACTTGCCATTAGACCATCATTTCTAGACACGTGTGTGCTAAGCGGTGTCAGATTCGTGAACCACTAATAGATTACCTTACACTTTTAGTATCGTAGCGGTTTGGCAATTGTAGGATTTATTTTATATGGTAACATGGCTTGTTGATCACCACTGGATCACATTGAACTCAAGACCATTATCCTAAAACAAACAAAAACATTTAGTCTTACATCGGAAGCTTTTTAGTGATTGAACTAAATACATATGAAAGCTATGTTCTCTCAATAAAGATCCCTTATTTCAAATTAAAATAATGCTTAGGACCATCTTAAGAGAAGATAAAAAGGTGGTCCACCCCTACACGCACATGTGTGTACGACGCTCCTTGCTCCACAACTAGTTGGCTACTAGGACATGATAGGGGAGTGACACACATGTGTGCGGAGTAAGTCCTTTGTCACTCGAGCCTAGCTCGTGGCTCCCTTGGTCTTAGTCTACCCACTCGAGTGTAGTGCCTCTCTAGGTCAGCTACTGAGTGTTGGCTTGTCAATGAGCAGTGACATTCTTATATTTAATTCTTTTATTTTTCTAATAATCAAAACTTACATAGTTAACAATATATTACTATACTTATTTATATATTACTATAATTATTCTACAAGTTAACACAAAAAATTAAATAATAAAACTAGTTAAATAAAAAAATCTTGCTTTAACAATAGACACACAATAGAGATCATTTTTAGTTTCTTTTTTTATATTTTTTTCTATTTTTAAAATGTTGTGTTTGTGTTTAGAATCCTAGTATCATTTTGTGTATGCTCTTGTGTGATAGACAAGAAGAAGATTCGATGTTGATTTTATTTAGAACTTAGTTTACTCCATGGTCAAATAGTTTCTTTTCTTTTAGTATTGTGGTTGAACATAATTATTTAAATTTATGTATGTCTTTCTATTTCTCTCTCTCTCTCTCTCTCTCTCTCTCTCTCTCTCTCTCTCTCTCTTCTTACATTTTCCTTGACAATTGTTCAAAGTAGAGTATGTATTAGAGAGCATAATTTTGACATTTTAGACCTTCAATGGTTGTCACTCAATAGAGAAAAGTTGGATGGAGGTGGTGAGTATCTTAAGAAGCTTCATCCTCAAGTTCGTGTAATAAGAGGAGGTTCTTCATTGCATCTAATACATTCACAAGAGGTGGCAACTTGTCTCTTAGTGGATTGTACTCTTCTTGATGATAGCTTGTGTATCAATCAATCAAAGATGATTTCTTCAATAGATTTGTGATCTTTTTATCTATATTTATTTGTTAGTTAGTGATAAGTCTTCATTATCATAAGTTAATAATTAATAAATAATATAATCTTAGTCTTAACTCATGATAAATAGATTTATATTTATGTTAAATTATGAAAAGTGGTCTTCAATTGAATAATGTGATTTTTGGTTAATTATGTGATTTCATGTGAATTTATATAATTGTTATGATCCTATTTTTGAGATAAATGAAGAAAAATAAATTAAAATAAAAAGATAGAAAAAGGGGGGGATGCGCCGGGCAACTAAGCTTGAAAGTGGTCAAAAGCACAATCAGGGTGGAGCCACGAGTAGGGGCTTGAGCAACTATGCACCAATAGAGGCATGTGTGCATCATTCCCCTTCCACATCACTAGTGGCCAATCGAGCATGGGGTAAGGAGTGGTCATACACATGTGAGAGAAGGACTCGTTGATTCTCAAATCTCACATTATTATACATTCGTCCTAAAATTTGATGTATAACTAATGTGGGACTAAACCTAGGTCACACCTTCCCAAAATTATTTTAAGATTTTTGTACCTCAAAAACCCCTTGTTTATCAAATGGAGGTAGCCTAATGGCGTTATTTTATAAGGGTATTTATCTACTTATTTCACTCTCTCTCATGCATGCTAGTGATCAGCAAGGGTTCGAATCTTACTAGAACACAAACTGATATTTTTATTTGATTAAATCTTGATTTTCTTGTAGATCGCCAATAAATGATTAAGTTGCTAGAGTCACTCAATCATCAGCAAAAATCTCGTCAATGTGATTCGTAGAGTAGTATTACAAAATTACTGAATGAGTCATGATAAAAGGATCATGAATCCATCAAATAAATTATCTCCAAATGATCAACGAATAAATCATCATCGGGAAGAAGGCGATCTGCCAAAAGACAAGTCACCACCCCCTAAGAGCGTACTAGATGCGATAAAGAATCTTCTTTTACTATGTGGACCTGAGGATAAAGCTCCCTAACATACATCCCACCTCTATTTAGCTTATCTCTGTCAAGTGACAGCCACTAGAGAGCCATCAAGTCACTATTTTTTCACTTCATCAGGTGGCAGTTGTCAAAGATGATTCGACGACTCATTTAATTAATTTATAGATTTCAAAAAAAGATTTAGAGATTATCCATATAGTCTTTATCTAGGAAGAACCTTTGAGGTCGTGGACCCACTACATAATAATTCTCCTGAACGCTTAGGATTCAGACGCATTGCCAACGTGTCGCCATCGTGATGCTGAAACTCTTTTTTATTATTTTTTAATTAATTTAACTTTCAAAATAATTTTCTAAACTTCAAAAGGAGATTCAGCAAATGCCCAAGTTGTCCATGTCCAAGAAGAGTCTTTGAGGTTGTGGGCATCATTCAATGATCCACACGAACATAATATTTCAGCGATTACTGTTGCAAGGGCAAAACTCTAGCTTTCTTATTTTAGATCATGAGTTAAATATCATGATCGGGTCGACTGAACTGGCGAACCGAAGTCACTTTCGTAACCATACTTCCTACAGCTAACATGTGTCCAGTCCAAATTCTTCTTCAGCTTGGAGGCACTTGTAGTACTTTTTCCAGGCTTCTTGTTCTTGGGAAATCAATCAACTTAATTGTCACTTTATTTAGTTATTTGTGTGATTTAAATTCTTCAAACTATTCTTCATTCAACTAAGATTCTTCTAGCTTTTACATATCTTAATTTGACCAAATAAATCGTCTATAATTGCTTGCATAAGAATCATCAAATGGAATTTTTTTTTCGTCCAATTCATATTTGTTGGGGCGTTGTTGTTATCCTGATGTTTACACCCCTTATTTTCTTTTTTTGCAAATTTTAAACATATTTTATTTTTATTTTCTAGTCTAAAATTTTTAAAAAATATATTCTTTGAAAATAATTCTGAAATATTAAACCGATACTATATTAAATCCTTGTGATCAACCTAGAAAATTTCTACTATTTTTGAAACTTTTATTGAATTATAATTGATTTATTTATTCATAAATACTTCTAAATATCTAAAAATTGGTATTTTCTAGTTTTATAAATTCTAAATTTGCGTGATTTATTATACAACAAATAAGTCACGTCAAATTTTTGCAACGTTGCTGGAGATATATCACATAATATTTGGTAATTTTTTTTTCTTTTAGATACACAAAAAGAAATTAACTCTTGTTTTTATTTTCTTCTTATAAAAAAATTAAAAAAAAAAAGAGAACGAAGAACAACAGGGCAAGGATTGGAGCAGACTAAAGTAGGGTAATAGTTATTAAAATTTTTCTCAAATTTATTGATTTTTATACATAGTAGAAGCTCCTTACACCCAAGGCTAATAAAATCTTCGACTATTTTGTCTAAAACTAAAAATTCAAAAGAAAAATTAATTTTGATGAATCTTGAAGGTAGTACCGGTCAAATTGAGATTAATCTCATGGTCATGAAAAATTATTATATTCTTGACTCATATCAACGAGCATCTAATATTAGAGTCTCATTAGCACCCACAATTAAATTCGAAATAAATTCAAGAATTTTTGAAATTCTCTCTAATTTTCATAAATTACGTTTAGAAGAACCTCATCAGTATTTAGAAAAATTGCATATGATCTGTGATTTAGTTAATCTCCCTTAAATAACATCGAAAATTGTAAAGATGAAATTGTTAGATAGAGAATTAATTAGTTTAAGAGACATAGAACAGACCTTTCATCGAAAATTTTATCCCTTAAGAAAAACTCAAAATATGAGAAAATATTTATAGAGTTTTGCTCAAAGGCTAAGAGAAATTTTGCATGAGACATAAAAAAAATTCAAAGATTTACTTAGAATGTATCTTCATCATGTTATACCCAAGTGGCAGCTCAATAGAATTTTTTATGATAGATTATTAAAATAATATAGAAATATGGTTGATTCTATATGTGGAAGAGTTTTTATAGAGAAAACATCTAATGAGATTTATAGCCTTTATGAGAGTTTAGGTGAAAATTCTAGAGATCATGCCTCTTTTGAGTTATATGATAGGGATAAAAAGAGAAGAATTTAGGAATTGTACCATCAAAATGATTTTAATTTAAGAAATTAGATTAATCATATTAGTTAAAGATTAAAAAACTTAATTTACTTATTGAATCATATTAAAAAGCCTACTAACCCTCAATTTAATACATATAATATTTGTCTTATGTATGATAAAAATGATCATTTTGAATTTCAATGTTATACTTTAGATCAATTATTTTAGCTTAAGCAAGAGCAAGTACAAGTACCCTACAATTTTAGTAAAAATAATAAATTTTCTTCTAATTCTTATAATCCTAATTGGAAGAATAGTTTTTCATAGAGAGACTCAAATAATATTCAAAATCCAAAAGTACTTAGACCCAATTCAAATTTTGAATTTCATTCAAAACAAGAACATATATTTCAAAAAAATCAATCATCTCAAATCTAACTTGATTTTATTGATATGATTGTAGCAAATGAGTCAAATGATGCAGTAAATAATAAACCAAATGATGTTGTAGTAAAAATAATTTATAGAAGTTTTTGAGAACAAGAGAGAAGAAGGACAGCCACCTTGTCAACTCATAGAAAAATTTGAAAACTGTCCAATAGTAGGATTTCAGCAAGAAGAATCTAGCGGAACAAATTTAAGAAAAAATCCACGAAATAAAAATGTTAAGGCTGAAACATTCAGTGAGAATGTTTTACTTGATCCTTATTTTCAATTATTAGAGGAAATAGATGAGCCATTATAAGTAAATGAGAATATTAAGGCTGAAAATATAGTAGCAGAAAATTTGAATAAAATTTTTTATTACTCACAATTGATGAATGAATATAGTGAAGATGATGAAGAGAAAGAGCCATTAGAAGAAGAAAAGCAACTGATCATGAAAACATTATCCAAATTTTTGTAGAAGGAAGTAAGGGCATAAATAAAGAAAACAGATTTCAGGTGTGGAAAAACTAGTTGATCTAGGAGATGTAGGAGATGAAATTACTAAATTTAATCAGTATGTTGTAGCCATAGAGGTTGATAGTGATAATGATGATGTATATCATATATCAACATTAGAAGATAACTCTTGAGAAGATGAAGAATTTGATGAGTTG